GGAAGCTATGGAAAGTCCTGAACAAGATGAAGTTTTTTGAGGAGTTGGAGGCGTCCCAAGTGTTTGGTGTCAGGGTCAAAGATAACGGACAATGCGACTATTTTACAACCACTACGCCGCCTACTTGCTAACTGCTCAACACCAGCTTCCGACACCATGGCCTGGTAACTGTTTGTTACTTGCGGCTACTTGAACTGTATTTATGGGAGTGTCATTTTGAGTTGGTAGACCGGACAGCTGATGCTTGCATCGCGCGCCTTACTCGTAATCTGCGGTTTCGAGATTCAGGGGCTGGACCAAGGGACAAGAGATCAACACAAGCTTTTCTTCAGGATGGATGGTTCGTAATTACACGAATATCATCATTCCATATAATTCATCGCGCATAGCTGGGTTAAACCCTACGTGATCGGTTGCACTGTACTTGTTTCTTTGCCTTCGTCCATCCTGTCCTTCTAAGCCTGCCCCTTCAACCTCGCTTCAACACAGCCACCAGGAACGCCAGGCACACGCCAAGTCTTAAACAATTCGAGTCCAGAAGCGTCAAACATCTTCTGGAAGCCTGCTTCAGTACGCTCCTTTCCGCCCATCGTCATGACAGCCTGATCAAGAACAGCGGAGGCAAAATCGGCTTCTCCTACACGGGGAGCGAGGACCATTTCGCAAATAAGAACTCGGGAGTAAGGTTTCATGGCTTCGGCGAGGTGGGTGAGGATTTGTATTCCAACGGCATCTGCATAGTCGTGTAGGATCATGCGCATAAAGTAAGCTTTAGCCCCTGAACTTTGTATTAGTCGTGGGTCTCATAAGTCGTGGGTCTGGCAGGAGTAGCATACCTTTTACGGGCTGCTCCGTCATAAAGTCATGCTCAACAAGCTGAACGTCGTCCGGGAGGGTCTTCTTCGACTTCGCAAGCTGTATAACTTCGGGTCGTTCCTGAAGCATGCAATCCTTGGGCGACAGCTCCGAATGAGCTTCGAGGATCTTGTTGAGGACCATTCCTTCACCACCGCCGACGTCCACAAGTTCTATGGTGGCGTTGTCTGTATCAGACGAGTCGTTTTTGAGGGTGCTGAAATCAAAGTGACCAGTGACTGGGATTGCAACATCGATGCCGGCCATGCCTGTCTGGAAAGTTTGAAATCTCTCGGGGTTCTGCATCATGATGCTCCATACTGGCGTTCCTTCTTGCTTCCAGTAAGCAGTATACGGGTTATATAGGGGGTCTTGGGGCTCTTCGTATTTCCCTTTCGAAACAAGATAGTCGTCAAAGTTGTGCATATGCTTGAACCATTCGTCGTACCTGTGAGACGTTAGATAAGCCTCAACGCCACTCAGCGCTCAAACTTACATTGCCAGGAACAAGTGGCCTGGCGCCGGCTTATCGAGGATGTAAGCCAATGAGAATTTGGTATGCTTATACTCGCCACCATCGGGCTCTGTTTGGTCCAGGAATCCGGAAGCGACTGCAGGAGGATGTGAGACTGTGCTGACCAACGCTCTTGGCAAGGGGACTGTCACTGACCTAACACGCGCCCCATCCGCTCTATGTTGATTGGAATTTCAGCTTCAAGTCTACCAGCCAATAGTGACGAAGATCCTTACCTAGAAGCGAATCTTGGACACCAGTGGCTTGAGAGAGATCTTGAAGGGATATGGACCCTGTGGCGGGAATGGCATCGAGGACTTTGAGCTTCATAAACGTTCGGATAGCAACCAATTCGGCAATCTAAGAAATGCGTGAGCAGCTGTATACTTCTGGACCATAATTCAGGAAGTTGGAGCGAAATCAGGGCTTACATTGAGGCCGTGATAGTTGGGCTTTTGATCTGGCGTGATGAGGGCATTTGTGAGTGACCTTGCTTTTTCGAGGATTTGGACCCTGGACATGTAACCGTTCAGGTCTGGAGCATCAGAATAAGCCTTGGCAGCATCGTTGAGGCTGCTGACTAGATCATCGATTTCTTGTTTGTTCGGGAGTGCCATTGTGACGGTTGCTTCTTGCAGATGTTTGTGCTTGATCTGTTGGTTCCAAGGTAACACTGCAGCCAACAAAGCAGAGACATGAATGAGCTGAGGATGGAGGGGCAAACTTCACCAAGATCGGGACCAGTCCGAAAGGAGACCTAGAGGAGATAAGATACGTACCTTGGAGCTGGCTAAGACACTTGGAGTGGAACCATCCAATCCTCGCCATACTCTCACAGGTTTAGCCTAACAAAATACCCGGCTCCCCTAAAAGGCTAGTGGCCGTGTCCCGTGCCAAAAGCAGGGGGTTGAAGATGATCCAACTCTTTTCATATCACGATTAATGATGGCATCTTGGCCATTTCTTATCAAGATCTGACATATTTCGACGAGAAGGCCTCTGTCTTTATCTGTGCGAGCCACAATCGACCCAGACATCACTTCCGTGTCATCACAACTCCAATGCTACCCCCGCTCCAAGATCAACATTCCCCAACCCGAGAGGTCGGAGAGGGAGAAGCTAAAGCGGGCCACGTAACATCAGACCAGGCCCGAGACCTAGATCGCGGAGATCAACAAGAACAGGGGCTAGCAGAGAGACCGCCGTCGACATCACCAACACAAGCTTCAAGTCGCATCGAACCCGACATCTTTGACAACAATGACCTCGAGGATGAGCTCTACCCAGAATCAACAAACACGAGCTATCTGACGTCCATCGCGTCGGATATCCGTCGCGGCATTCAAGAAAACGGACGAACTTACGGTGTTTATGGCCTACACAAAGCTTGGATCCCTAGTGACGATCTCGAGGTCAACACAATGCGCTATTCTTCTCAGGAAGCTCGAATACTAATTAGAGTTAACAGGTTGAGCGCAATGATCTCCAGCACTGCAAGTTCACGATGCTCATGGGCAACGAGCTTCACTTGGCCCCTATTGTCGACCATCCGCAAAAGATCCTCGATCTTGGTACTGGATCAGGTATTTGGGCCATCGACATGGCGGAGCAATACCCTTCAGCCAAGGTCATTGGTGTCGACACAACTCCGGTTCAGCCCAACGTGATACCGCCCAACTTAGTTTTCGAGGTATGTCAGTCGACCTCCGGGGGCACGCCTTTGATTTTCACTGCAGTGATACAACACATTGAACCATACTGACGCCTCCAGATTGACGATGTTGAAGATGACTGGCTCTGGGGCGAAGGAACTTTCGATCTCATCCACGGCCGAGAACTTATCATGGCCATTCGCAACTGGCCTCGTCTGATGGAGCAGGCTTTCAACCACCTCAAGCCCGGCGCTTACTTCCAGCTCTCTGGCTCAGTTCCCGACTTCAAGTCCGACGACGGCACACTGCCCCCTGATTCCGCTTACATCGAGATGGGCAAGATCTACTTTGAGATGTCGCAGCGCATTGGCTGTTCAGGCTGGGAACCGACTCGCTGGAAGGAGCACTTTGAAAACGCTGGCTTCGAGGATGTAGTAGAGCGCGTCCTCAAGATACCTACGAATCCTTGGCCCAAGGACAAGCATCTGAAGGAGATTGGAGCGTTTGAGCTTTCGCATTTTCGAGATACCATTGGAAACGTGTTTGCTCGTGGGTACGAGCAGATCCTCAACGGCGATCCGAATTACTTCCAGGTACTACTGGCCAAGGCTCGAAAGGAGGTACTGAACCCAAACATGCACAGTTGGGTGCCTTTGTAAGTGCTTGCTTTGCTCCTGTTTTGGAAATATCGTCAAGAGCTAACGAGTGTCATCAGCTACGTCGTGTACGGCCGAAAACCAAGAAGTTACACTACAGATCAGCCACCACATCAGAAGTCCGCTTCTCCTGACGCATAGTTGACTAGCTGTGAGCTGTGTTGTATTGAGCCAAAGCTGAGCAAAGGGTGGACAACAGGACTTGCAATATCAGTGTGGTGGTATAATAGCCATGGCTTGACGAATAATGCCCAGCGTACGACTTTCTATTTCCGAACTCTTATCACATCTTGCTTGTATCCATTGTATAGTCTTGTAGATCCAGTATCTCAGACTTTCGTAGAGTCTCAAGCTTATTATCAATATCAAAACCAAGCAATTTCTATTCAACTTAGCCAAGATGCAACTTCATATGTTTCATTATGACAACAAAACTAAATTTCTCCTCCAATCTTGAGGGCTGGTTGGACTAGTAATATGCCAGGAAAGGAAATGGTAGATAGCAAATATAATTTCGTGATTATTTCAGGTTGAATAACAGAAAGTATTTGACTTCAACTCGAACAGTAGATAGGATTTTGTTACTGTCAAGAGAGATCTGAGCAGTATCCATGCCACCACAGGGGGAGCTAGGGACGGGAGTGCTGAAAATTGGCCACTGCTTAGCTGTACCTCCTCGCTAGATCCACTAGAGAGTTCGGCCGCACATCCATGGCTGTAGAGATACTTGCCAGCCATAAGGTAACGCTACAGCAAGATAATTCTGAACACGATGTTCACCGCCGGGATATAAACTTGGATCCAAGAACTTTCAATCACGGCCATTGAGTCTTACATGATATCAAGCGTTGGGGCTGTGTAGTGCTACCACACGAGCTTTCTTTGTCAGTCAAATGAGTCATCCTCCAGGTTTTCTTTTTGTGCATTCATGCTGTAGCAACTGGCCAGGCACTATGGTATCATGTCAGAGTTGCGAGGTACTAAGGTAGATGCAATTTTTGCAAATCAGATCTGTGGCCGAGAATTCATGTCACCATATGGAACTTGGAGCGTCAAAACAGGGGCGCCTTATCACTACGAGGATCACAGCTAGCAAGAGGGGCAGAAGGAGAATAAGAGTTGGAGAACACTTGTTTTGGTTCTCAAACAACCTTGATTAATGCATATTCCTCCACGATTGTATTGTAAGAACAGGTTCCCTGGGCGAAGGCCAGATGGCTGGATGCTACACAGCTACTCCTAGGCACACCATCAAACAGCGTAGAAAGCTTTGGAAAGAAGAGAAGCTGGTTTTGGATAAATTAGCAAAATATTCCTTGAGGAGAAGGCAGGCAAGGAGAGTGTCTTACTTTGGTTGGCACTCGAGTCACGCTCAAGGCAAAGTTCAAAAAAGTTTTTTGCCATCCTTGGCAATATCAACGCAAGAGCATCACCAGCAGGTACAAAGGGTTCCGAATTCAGTCGGCACAAAGAGAAACCGAAGACTGTGGTTCGCGGAGTGGTGTTTGGTGACAACGTCGCTCAGGGGTACGTCGGCTATGATTTTAAAGTCAGCCAAGCTTTGCAGAACAGGTCAAGATAAGATACTCACTGAAGACGATTACCACAAGAAATCTATCTGGATCTCGCCACCCTGTCGGCGGACGTTGGCTCCACGACGGCGCTCCGGGTTGGGAATGCGCTCGATGGTGATGCCGTAGCGGAGGGCGAGGAAGAGGAAGAGCCACATGGTGAGCTCGCCGAACCACTCGGCATGGGGCATGCTGTGGGTGTAGGCGTCCCAGAACATGTCGAAGTGATTTTGTTGTTTGTTTGGAAAGAAAGTAGAAATTGTGTCGTGTTGGAGTGTCTTGTGTGCAGTGATAAGTACAAGTGTTAGTTGTGGAGGGGAAATTTGTGGGCGGTCCTAGCAGGAGGTACTAAATTTTTGTAGCCCACTTTGGTGATGCAGATGTACATCCCGCACCCGAGCTGAGCTGACATGGGTTGGGCTGGGCTGCATCACCTCTACTGAGTCACTCCGCTCTCGTCTCATCTCTTCTGCCTCTCTCTCTCCAACCCACCATCAAAACAATCACTCAAAACAACATCTTTCGGGTGGTGATAAACAATCATTTCCTTTTTATTATATACGCAAACATCATCATCAGCATCATTATCTTCTCTTCTTTCCAACTCGTATAAATCACTGGTAACAAAGAAGATTATCCTGCTTCATCGGGTTTGTTGCCCCTTGCGCTCACCAAGCACGCGTCGAGGTGATCCTCTGCAAACTTATCCTTGTTTTCCCCTTCTCCCCTTCATCTTTGAACATCGCAAACTTCATCTTCAATCCTCCTTTGTTCTCATATTCCAAACATTTACTCAGCTGCTCTTATTGTTTCCCTATCACAAAGCTACACTCCGCTGTAGTACAGCAATCATGGGTGGCAAGGCCTTCGCTCACGCCAATCCTCCCCTGGAGACACCTCGAATGTCTCACTCGGCATATCTAGAGGCCAAAAACACAGTCATTCGACGCCTGAATGAGAAATTCTTCTGGACTAATGTTCCGATGGAAGGCCCTGGCAAAGAAGACCACGGCGACGTCGATGTCCTCGTCTGCGAGATGAAAGGAATCGATATCTTCAAGGAGACTGTACTTGATGCCATCTCTAACGCCCTTGGAGCTGAATCCAGAATCACTGAAGGTGGCGCCAGTCACTTCTCTGCTCACTTCGCTATCCCATGGCCTGAGCATATCCCTCTTCCCCAGGCAAAGGGAAAACCAACTCTTCGTCCACCGGTTGTTTCCATCACTCCTCCGTCACCTCCACGACCTTCTGCTCGTTCTACTGTGACTACCGCTCCTGGAAACCTGTTCAAGCTTTCTGAAAACGTTCCTACAGTTCCTACTGTCAGCACTACTACTGGAAAGCCTCCCCTGGATTCAACTTTGCCTTCTCCTTTCGGTCCACACCCTAACCCCCTTGGTTCAAACCCTGCCCCCTACATCAAAGAAGCTTCTAGTCCTGACGCAGAGCCAAGTGCCGCGAAGGACTCAAAATCAAACGAACAAACCGTAAGTTGATGCTCACTTGCCTATCCAGGAGCCAAGCTTACACCGTGTTTTAGGACGCTACAGTTGCAGACTCACAGACGAAGCCCTCAGCACACGATTCTGATGGCGTTAGTATCACCTCTTCAGAGCGTAGTCAAGCATCTGCTGCAACGGCTCCTGTGACTGGCAAATGGGGAACCCTCTCTTATATCAAGAGAAAAATGAAATCCGGCGACTCATCTACTCGTAAGTGCCTGCCCTTCTCGAACACCCTGTTCTTGCTGATCAGGCTGCTAACATGTATAGGTTCCTTTTCACTATCTACAATGTTCAAGCGTGGCAAGTCAGGCCGAGATTCTGTTGCATCAAACTCTACCCGCGGAACTCTTGAAAAGGTATTATCATACAAAGACTTGACCATGTTCACTATTCTCTAACGATAAACTCAGATCAATAGTTCCTTTTCAGAGCCTGGGGCTGCCCTTCCAGCCGTTCCTGGACATGGAAATTTCAGAATCAAGAGAAGGACTGTCCCAAAGTCGATCCTGACTGATAACCCTTTCGTTCCCCTGCCTTCTGGTCCAGTTCACGAAAACCCTTTTCGTGACCCTGCCCGCGTATTCATTCAAGTCGATGTCCGGTATTGTCTCTCAAGAAAGCAAGCTAAGTACTTGCGTTTCTTCGAGTCGCATGGCGACTTGTGGCAAATCGTGGGATCCATCATCAGTCCCTATGGTCTCACCGTGGACGACAAAGGTCTTCACATCCGGGTAGAGGAAGGGGAACGCATCAACCGTAAGAAAGCTAAGATCCTCCTTACCAGCAAGCCGGATGAAATCCTGATGTTCCTTGGGCTCCCCGTTGCTGAATACTGGCGACCCTTTGCCACCACCAACGCTATGTTTGAGTACATAGCCAAATGTCCCATGTTCTCTCGAGGAGGCTGCAGCACCTTTAAGGAAGAGATGGGCGTCGTCACTGCTAACGAGCGTCGACGCATGGCCTCGCGTCCTGTCTATCGAGAATGGGTTCAGGAGTTCAAGCCTCGCTTCCTACAGAGAGATTTGGATTTCGGGAGCCCCTTGACCCGTGATGACATCAAGGAGAAGGCCTTCTATACTTTCAAGATACAGTCTGAGTACCACGCCCGAGTCCGATCATTCATCCTGGGCTCACAAAGAGAGGAGCTCCGAAAGTTCATCAAGTCGGTCATCCCCCTAGAGGACAACTCCACCCCGGCCAGACAAAGACGATCCAAGGCAATTAAGGCCATGTCCGCCATCGTCATTGATGGCATGGATGCTTCCGAGTTCGGGATCGCCGCCCCGGCCAAGCTCCTCCGGGGAAATGGGACGTGGAACATGCCACGAACCGAGGAGTGGATTCGCACCAAGGTGCACTTCGTTGGCCGCTATGCCAACATGAACGCGGCAGAAAAGGAGAAGTTGAGGGCAGAGTCGGCGAAGAGGAAGGCAGAGCGCGGCTAGGGTCGTCGCCGCCTAACGATCAACGATGTCCCGGAGCCGGAGGCCCAGTCCGGGGAGCCTGAGCCACTCCCCGGACTCGCCCAACTCAACCTCGGCGCCAGCAAGTAGGCTGGTTGCCTACCCTCCTCCAACGTCAAGACCACCAGGTCTTGAAGCTGACCACCAAAATTTTGTCCATGTTTTTTAAGGTATGTCCAGCTTATTCAAACTGATACTCTCACGGAACTAACCATCCATAGTTCTATTTCACCATTTCCAACGGTCGTCGATCGACGACATACGCGGCGCGCGTAATCTAGTTTTTTTTTGGGAGCAGTCGGGGTCAGAC